TTATGAGTAGTGCATTACAAAAATATAGTTCCACTTTATTTTGCCGTAATATCACCGCTTATGTGTGCTGGTAATAAAACAAATAAAGATTTTTTGCTTCGGCTTGCGTTGACTTTCAGTTTTACTGTCCGACATAATTCTGTGCTCTTTTGGAAGTTTACGAAAAGCTTCTAACTCGGGATCGCCAGCAGAATAGGGACGACACTCAGCGACCAAGGTATCAAATTCATCGTTGAACCAGTGAAGCCATGGCAGCTAAAGAGGACTGCACATTGTTATCGGACGACGGTGGTTTTTTAAAAGCCACATATGCCCTTCACAAGGAATTCAACTGGACACACGACAGCTTGACATCTTCACAAATAGTCTATTGGGCGGAGGCACCATACCGGCCAAGGGCTCCGACGAGAGACTACTAGATGTGAAATCGCTCTGAATCAGGTGCGTTACCACCGATCTGACCTGAAGCGGCTGCCTGGGCATTTTCAAAGTGAATGGGCGAAGGTACCGGACAATATCATGAACAATCGGAAAGATCCATCCTTTTGCGAGTTAGTTCAGTTCCTTGAAAGAAGTCTCTGCAACTTCAAATGTTGACATGCAGCTAGTCAGTACTGCCAGTCGCGAGTATTCTCGAAAAAAGGACATTTTTATTCAGCTAAGAACGTCCCCCTTTCTGAAAGTTAATGCGGTCGCATCTGACGTCATGACCTGTCCAATATGTATGACTTGATAGATAAGAATAGATAGCTAGGAGACCGATGATTTCTCCAGCATTTTCTGTATTTCCTCTGCGGACGGACAGCTTAAAACATTCAACAAGTGCAACAGTCCATATGCTTTCCCAAGATTAAAGACTAGTCAAGGAGACTTTCGAATGTTTAACCTTACCGGCCCTAAAAACTCCAGCCACGAGGCATTCAGTGGTTTGACGTTGGTTTATTGCGCGATCAAGGGATGAATCCGTTATTTGCCCTTTTACTCCTCCTTTCAGATCCATGGTGCTCATTCAAGTCAGGTTCAAAAGCCTCTTTACCACGAAAAGTAAGCGCTGTTTGTAGTTGGGTTTGCGCGACCAAATACATCGCGTGGCGTAGAGACTGAAACGACTTAAATCACGAATAATGCTACCATTTGTTCGAACCCTACTATACCGGTAATGCGACGAACAACCCGGTGGAATTTGCAGATCCTTAGCTGAGCAAATGTCGCATATGGTTTAAACATGGGGAACCAATTTACCCGCAGTACCACGACGCACATCATACTCCGGTATCCAGCTGGCGTCACCAAAATTCAGCGATAGTTACACCAAGTCCAAAGGGCATAGTCTTGACGTATGCATTCATCCAGTTTCTTACGGGGACTCGGTAGAATTTTTGTCAGATCCTTCAGGTACCTGATGGAAAACCTGGTCAAATATACTTAAACTAAGCTGAAATCTCCGTGGATTATTACCGGACCGAGATTGCTGCCAGATCGAACCTCACTGTAAGACTGGGAACAGGTCCTATCCAGGGAATCTCAGGCCGATCAGTATCTTTCAGTTTGCTATGTAAGTGACAGTATTTATGGTTCGTGAATGATTAAGTATGATGTCAGCCGAAACAAGTGACCTGAGAAACAAACAGCGTGGTTTAAACGGGCGTGATATTACTTAACTGATCTTATATGCGAGTGATGAATGTACAGGCTTTCAAGACCCACTCATCTTTACGAGCAAATTCTGGCTCTCCTGAATTATTTGATGAAGCGGATCACAGAGTTTTGAACCACCTCACATAACATGAAACAACAGGATTTCCTTGTGAAAGCTTTATGACAGTAAACGGTGACTTATTGGCCCCGCAGTCCGTACTTGGTGGGGCTCAACCGTAATCTATGGAATATGTACATCACCACGTCCCTGTACACAACGGGTCTAGCGTTGACAGTATGTGGAAGCTATTAAATATTGAAACCCATCAGCTCACTTGGTAGCAGTGGGATAGAGCAATATGACATATATAATGATCAAAAGAGTTCAGCAAGCGGAACCAATGCCAACGCTGAGCCAATTTAAGTCTGGTTCCAGAATTATCAGGCAATAACTGGATACCTACCGCTAGACTGTTTATCCAGTCCTCGTAAGTAGGTTCCAACCCGCCTCAGCCTGCGGACTTTAGGTTCACAAAAAACGTTACAAGCCAAAAGATCCCCTAGTCTCATGTTAATTAACGAAGCTCACGACATCAATTGTTTGGTTCTCGCTCCGCTCTCTAAGCTTGACGGTTTGATCACAAACGTTTCACCACTAAACTGGATCACTCATCCACACACTGGCAGCGCAACTTCGGTTTGTTATTAAAAGCTTACAATCCAGCTGCCAAGCTGGGCTAACAGGTCAACAACCAAGCAGTGAACTATCTATACTCCGCAACAGCACTGGCATTAACCGTTGTTCACGGATTCACTGAATCATACACAATATCGGAGCTTTTGCCCAAGTTTTCCAATGCAGTTTTATCCTTGTCGCTCAGCGGCTGTCGTTCACCTGAAAGGCACAAGTGAAAAAAAGTGTGGCATGCTCCTCATGTCCTTAGAGGGGAGCAGAGTGCTCGCCAGCGCGAGGACTCGCATAAAGAAGTGTCGATCAGTACTGTGAAATGGGTTCTAGAAGGAGCGTGGACAACCGTCCGAGGAAGGTTATTTTACGAAACTAATATCCGAAATGAGAAACAAATTTTGCCTAATGAATGTGGGCGTTTTGAGGTTGAAAATCTTCTTACCGTGTCCCCAACGTGTGTTTGCTAGGTCACCGGTGAAAACCTGTTTGCCAGACTTTGTTCAAGCCGGACATAAATAAGAATCAGGTCCTCTCGGAGCAGACGGTACTCCAGGGGAAAGAGGTCAAGCAAATCTAATCCTTTTTGGCGTCTATCCTGATGATGTTTTCTGGTCCGTTCTCACCATACATGACGAAGGCGTTCACTGGGTTCCTCCAGATGAAATATGGACGCATTTTTCGTCATTCAGAAGCAGGTGCCAGTCCAACAACCACTGCTTTTAAGCGTCTACATCCATTTTAAGGGCAATGGTATCGGGAATCCAGGATTTCAAGTCGTCCGCAACAAGTAGACATGGTCTTTGACGTTGACGTATATCGGGAGCTCGTTGGCCTATATCGGGAGCGGCAGTGGCCCCAAATACGAGCCTTGAGGAACTCGAATGAAGACTAGCGCTGAAGAACAGTAGGTACAGCTTACCTTCACCCGGAATGATCTGTCTGATAGGAACTCCTTGATCTAGTTTAGGATTTTCCCTTGAATCTCGTATGACTCGAGTTTGTGGGCAGCGGGACGTGTGAGACCAGATCAACTGCTTTTGAGAAGTCGAAATATGTGGCATCCGATTTGAATCCTTTGTCCTTGGCTTGGTTTAACCCGTGCATAAACAAGAGCATGTTCGTGAAGCTAAAACGGTTTGGGAGAAATCCTTGTTGAGAGGGGAACCCGTGTTGAGAAAGCAATCCTTGTTGAGTATTGTTATTTTGAGGTTTCAGACACCCAAAATAGTTTTCAGGTGAACGGAGGTGGCTGAGTAGAAAAAGGAATCTTGGCCGAGGAAGCTCGACATACGCTTAAATCTTGCTTGGAAATCTGTTGAAAAATTAGCCGACCACATTCCTCGTTGTTCACGCTCCTTCTAGAACCCAGTTTAGTGCACAATTAGACATTTATTAATGAAAATCCTCGCGCCGGGAAGCATACTGCCCCGCGCTGGGAACATAAACAGCAGTGCTACACCCTTTTTTCACTCGTGCCTTTCAGGTGAGCGACTTCCACTGACCGACAAGAACAAATGCGACCCGGAAAACTTGGGCAAAAGCCTCGATCCTGTGTATCAATCCGTGAATCCGTGTCCAAGGGTTCGCTTACTTCCCTTTTGGCGTAGCCATTCTGCGTGGAGCGATTGATCAGGCTTGCTGAGGATCGACTGTGCCAGCTTCGCTGGCGTGATTTTTCCGGAGAACGACCCCCAGATTATCAACCTGTTTTCCCTTAGGCGTCTGTCCACTAGAGACGCAGTGGCGGTTTTTATAGCCGTGTCGGAAAGTTGTATGGCTTTCTTCGCAGCCATGGGACCCGGTATGGACATCGCGAGGTATTGGTTCAGCAAGGAAAGTTCCTTGTCGACTTTCGCCCAGGTCGCTGCATTCTTAGCGCCTGAGTCCTCCAATGCCTTCGAAAGACGCTCTAATTTCGCGTCGAGTATCCCGATTAAAGCGGAACACTGGCAGTGGTCTTTCGGCATCTGCACTGGGGATT